ACCGGCCAAGATCTGCCCCCGGAGACGGCAGGGAAAGCTGCATCTCTTTTTATTCGAGATTCTTTTGCAATAAAAGCAACACGGACGGAGAAGCAGGCTGATAAATTACAGACAGAGGGAGTGAGGCACGCACTGAGACAAAGACAGAAAATGATGGTTGTTTATGGTTGCCTGGTCTCCGTCTCTCGCTCCCTGTCATTTGTTGGGTGTAGTTGAAAGGAGAGCATGTGTGCAGCTGCTTCTATTTCGGCAGATTTTCTTGCGACACTCACCACAAAAATACCCTGAAATGGCTACATTTGCCATGCTGTCATAAATGACCCCCAAGGCTGCGCACCACAGTCACGGCTGATGTTTGGAGGAGAAAGAAACAAAAAGGATAGATTGCTTTAGACTTGTGGACATGGTGCCACGGTAAAATAAAACGTACCGCGCGGAGCCACAGTCTTGAGGAAATATCTGTGCTTTTTTTTCTCTCCATATTTTAAAATAACAGCTTACAAGCAGAGCCCAGTTACAGATTACACCATGACTCACTACGATTGAGTCTAATTCATATTTATGTTTTACATTTTTTGCCAATTATTCTGATGCAACTGTTTGTAATAATTGATTATGAGAAATCATGCCACCAGGTGGCACTGATGCGAGTTAAAGGATGCAAATCATTCGTTATTACATCTGCCACCTAGTGCAGTGGTTCTCAACATTTTTTTTGGTCAAAATTACTATCGACCCCCAGAGACATTTTAGTAGCCGTCACTTCTCACAGTCAGGTGATCGCAGCTGTCAATCAAGATGCGCTAGTTGCTGCAAATTGTAAATGTTAAAAGAATAATAATTAGTTGAAAAGATATATTTTTATTCTGTAATCAATCAATCAATCAATCAACAGCTAGATATTAGTAGCCGTCACTTCTCACAGTCAGGTGATCGCAGCTGTCAATCAAGATGCGCTAGTTGCTGCAAATTGTAAATTTTAAAAGAATAATAATTTGTTGAAAAAAAAATTATTCTGTAATCAATCAATCAATAGCTAGATTTTTCAATCCATTACATTTGAATTCCAGACGGCCCCAAACGCAGGCCGCAACCCGAAGGTTGAAAACCACTGTTGTTAGCGACTCCTACCAGAGCGGTTGGTGCTTGTGAACGAAAACTGAGATTTTGGCCCGTCTGTAAATGTGTAATGTCTAACTGTGTGTGTTTGTCAGAACTGTGCTCCAGTGACCTCTGCTCTCGCTCCACTGGGCCCCAGCAGATCACACACTAAATCAGACATGGCCGCAGTGCCGGACCCCATCCCTCGCTGCACGATCGAATGTTTGCTCGATTCTCTTCCTACTGCTTCTAATTTCTCTTCTTTTCATTTCTTTGTCGTCCATCCAAGGTCTCGATATAATCTTGTTCTCACCTTCATTCCTCACTTGGTTCCAGTTTCTTTTTTCGCTCACTCTGTTTTTAGCCATATTTCCTTTCTCCTCATATCAGGCGCTCATCTTTACAGTGTCCTATAGCCATGACCCAGCCCCTATCACTCACACAGAGTTGCTGACAACAAGCCAACTCAGCAGTTGCTTTCACTGGACTGCACACCAAATCCAAAACACAGTACTGTGCAGCACAGGCTGTCTGCATGTTTACATACAAACAATAAACACAGACGGTGTAAAAGACACGAGTTCAAGTCAAAACGACTCCATGTAGCAGTATTTAATACATTATGTCTGTAATAAATACTTCGTTCTTACATGGACCCAAAAAAGCGACACCTTTACTGCACCTAATCGTCAGCTCGACACACACACACACACACACAGATGTTTCCATTGTCCTGGTGGATTTCAACAGTGTGTGTCGGTGTAAATTCTTCTGTCTCTGCCTGGCTCTTTGAGCTCAAGCTACAAATCACACCGACTCTGGGAGGCAAAGCTGGACGGACCTGATAATGAGCTTTCCATGGAAGATTCCTGGCTGCGTCTCATCAGTGAAACAAAGAAAAAAGAAAAAAAAGCCTCTCCTCCATCATGGAGTGATGGGTGGAGATAGAACAACACAGACAATTCAGAAGAAACAGACGTAAAAATGTACCAGCCATAAAAGACCAGTCTCTCTCTCACCGACATAGAGAGAAACAGAAATACAGCGTTGGTGCAGAACATAAAAAAAAATCAAAGTGCAGGAGGAACAGATGATGTGCCAAGAACGGGAACCAGGTTTTGGGTTCCAAGGCGATGCTCAAATGTAGGTCTGGGTTTAAGCTAATCCTGATAACCTAAATCCCCAGCACACCTCCCCACAGCTCGGAGCTTCTTCTTAATTGAGTTTGAATGGCAGCTAAGAGACCTTTCAGTTGCTGCTACTGCCCCCACTTGGTCTATTTTCCCTTCATTCATCGTTTGTTTTCATTAATTTTCATTTCATTCTTCCATCTTTTTACGACCGTTTTTGGCCCACGGGCCTTGAGTTTAACATATGTGACATAGGGCCAGTTGTCCTGCTGTAAACGAACTGACAACAGACTGTGAGGTCAGTGTGTGATTAAAATGACTCAGGTGTTTCACACCATGACTCGGTGGATTAATGTTATAGTCGGTAAAATATTCTTTAATTCACTCTTAGTTTTGGTACTAGTTTTTTCCAGCCTTTGTTTTGACACTTCTCTCTAAAACAGTCAAGGTTGGAGTACTGACAGTACTGACAGTACTGACAGTACTGATATGCGCTGTACTGTGTACTATGTATTGTACATGAAAGCAGTAATACAGTAAACTGTACTCACTCTGACATTTCACCGCCCGAGTTGTGATCTTACAGCTGCACGCGTCACACCAGTCCTGCGTGACGGGCTTGGCTTCAAACCGGTGTCCTTCACCCGTCTCGGTCTTCACACGGGGGTCACCCTCCTGGGTGAAGATGGACCAGGCCTCCAGGCGGAAGGGCTCCTGCCGGGACAGCCTCACCACTCCGCTCTTGCCCTGGGTGACCCGCTCCAGGGGGAGACCGCTGCTCACAACAGCCGCTGACGGTGACGCTGAAGACGGGGAGGAAACACTGTGGTGACCGCTGCTCCGACACTCTCGCCGGCCGTGCTGTGGCGGCGCCCCGTTGTGCGCGTCTCCATTCAGCAGCATGATGCTGACGCCTGACCTCCGGCCACTGGAGTCACAGTTACAGACGACACTGTGTCCCGAGCGTTTCTCTTCGGTACCGGACACTGAGGTCCTGTCGCAGTCCGCGTTCCCCTCCGCTCTGTGCCGGTCCTGGCTACGTGGATGACACGCGGCTCTGCATCCTTCAGCTGCTCTTAGCGCCGCTTCTGCTCCAGGTTCTGGACCCACGCGCGGAGGTGTCGGCTCTCCTCCAGCGGCTGTGGACTCCACGCTGCCCCTGCTGCTTCTCCTGAACATCATCTTCTCTCGGGAGGCTTTCCTCTGAGGGGTGATCTTCTTAATTTTGAGGGGAAGGGGTGTGGGTCCCGAGTCCAGCCTGTGCTGACCCACCACACTGACAGACGCCATTATCCTCGACCCTTAGAGAGAGAGAGAGAGTGTGTGTGTGTCTGTGTGTGTCGTGTGTTTTCACTGCGTGTTCTGAATGTAAACTCCACTCACGCCCGCAACAAGCGTGTAGTAGTGACGCAGAGGAGGTGACAGCTTTAAATGCAGCGTGGGCGCGTACCCCGTAGGCGGGAGCGCGCACGGATCACTGATTTACATAGGTCAGGTTTGAGTTGACATTTAATGCAGAGTTAAGATGACGGCAGATGTAAAAATGTCGTTCCTTTTCCTGTGCAGCTGATTTACTGATGGGTTCTCAAACTCTACCAAAAAACAAAAAACATTTCAGTCAGTATTTCTGACTGTACCTAATAATCATACACCTGATCTGGACTTATGAGGAATTTAATGAGCATAATTTTGAGGGGAAGGGGTGTGGGTCCCGAGTCCAGCCTGTGCTGACCCACCACACTGACAGACGCCATTATCCTCGACCCTTAGAGAGAGAGAGAGAGTGTGTGTGTGTCTGTGTGTGTCGTGTGTTTTCACTGCGTGTTCTGAATGTAAACTCCACTCACGCCCGCAACAAGCGTGTAGTAGTGACGCAGAGGAGGTGACAGCTTTAAATGCAGCGTGGGCGCGTACCCCGTAGGCGGGAGCGCGCACGGATCACTGATTTACATAGGTCAGGTTTGAGTTGACATTTAATGCAGAGTTAAGATGACGGCAGATGTAAAAATGTCGTTCCTTTTCCTGTGCAGCTGATTTACTGATGGGTTCTCAAACTCTACCAAAAAACAAAAAACATTTCAGTCAGTATTTCTGACTGTACCTAATAATCGTACACCTGATCTGGAGTTATGAGGAATTTAATGAGCAATCTGGTGATTTGGTGCCGCAGCTGGGCCCTGGGCCACAGGTTGATCCAGATCTAGGCTGTAGACTGTAAACAATGATTTACATACAACTGTGTTGTGTCAAATATTTTTTCGCCTAATCTGTCACAGCAGAACTTCACACTGACAACAGCTGATGTTTTGATATAATGTAGTTTCACTCGTTGAAGCGGAAAAGATTAACGTCTTTAGTTACATTTTATAATGAAGAAATCCGGAAAAGAAAGAAAGAAAAAAAAAACCCTTCCTACAAACAGAAGGACTTGGTGGAGTAACCATAGGCAACAGGAGCAAAATAACATCTGCAGGGAAGTTAGTTTTACCTTGGAAATAAAGGGCTTTGCTGAGGAAATGTAGAGTCTAAACCCAAAGAAAGAAAATGTCTGAATCAACATAAATTGAGTTAATCACGAGTTTACTGGTCCACTGTATGAGGGTCGAGTGAAAAGGTTGAATCACTTTTTTCTCTACATTTCCTGTCTATAAGCAGTTTCTCTTTTCTTCTGTGTCTCGTGCAGCAGGTCTGAACATGAAATCCAGTTCCTATAAAATATAGAGTTTCGGGAAAAGAGGAGGAAAAAAAATCTGATGGAAACAGATCACAACCTGTTGTAAATCTTTATCAAGTTCAAGTGAGGGTTGAACAGAAAACACAGGTCGGCATCTCACGAGTATTTAATACAGTCGTTAGAGACGGGTCTGACATCTTTAATAATTAAAACTAACCCTCGTACAGTACTGACTAATATGAACCACTGACCCAACAACAGACAGTAATGATCTGTGGAGCTGCCTGACAATGGATCGTTTCATCGTCTTTGAGAAATAAAAACAGAAGATCTGAAACACTTGAACCCGTCAAGTAGATCGGTCGGTTGATTTTATCGGGCCGTTACATCATAATTATGTAATATTGGTAAGATCGCTTTGCAAAATTTGCTGGACGTTTACCTCCGTTTTGGGGGCTGCATATATCAGAATCAGAAATTGTTTGGACAATATCAGCAACACGTTACTATCGGACATCCATGTTTTGATTATGTCATGTCGGAATTACACTCAGCCTCCAAATCACCATGAGAAAATATCAAGTGAATCTCAGCCTTGTTTGTGTGGGTTGAAAAAAAAAAAAACACAAACACAAAATTTCCCCTTTGCCAAATAACCGTCATATGAGCAGCAGGAAACCACAGAGCAGCGAATCCCCCTACGTGTAGAAACCCCCAGGGTCAGGAGTCGCAGTGGGAGGTGAACTTTCATTTTCACACACCGTGTTTCCAGTGTCAACAACAAACACCTCGTCTTCATTCATTTCTCCCTTTAAACACAACAAGTAAATGATAAAAAAATAAATTGTCAACAAGGATGGAGTCGTTCAGAAACTGAAACAAAAAACAAAAACGATCACGTTTTACTGCTTCGTCACGGACGTTTAAATGAGTTGAAATGAAAATAAAAAACAAATGTTCTTACTTTCACTTTATGGCACATGTGACTTTACTGACTGGAGTAACGTTTCCCAACTCTCGACTCAGCCCAGTCTCCCTGATTTCATCTTTTCTCTTTTACAGTTAAAACCTGATAAATTACTCATGATTTTCATGAGTAATTTATCACCGCAGATAAACAACAACAATGACCAAAAAACAAACTAAAACTGCTTCATCACTATTGACAATCAGTGATGTAATCAACCAGTGGTTCATTACTTTGACAGCACATCTACACAGATGACCCACTGACCGAGGAGGCATTGGGAAATTTTTTTTTTCCCCACTCTACACATTATTATAACCATGAAAACCAAGAGAACTCATTTGTCAGGTTGAACGATCCATTTGAATGTTTCTTCTGATGCTACCGGAAAAAAAGTGAGAAAAAAAAACCCCTTAAAAAACCAGTGAGGTCGATTAATTGACGTCGTTTCTGTCCATTCTTCTGACAGTCCGTCAGTGTTACTGCCTATTAGAAATACAGCAACACTAAAAGCATTAACGAGGTTTATATTGAACTGATGTGCTGAGTCCTCAACCGCACACACTCACACACACACACTCACTCACACACACACACTCTTCCCTTCCCACGTTGTTCAGGCTTCTTATCTGGAAATGGAGAATTCACAGTTATTGATCGTCTTCAGTCGCTTCCTCCGCAGCAACATTAACCGCTGACACTTCCTGAAAGGAGATCCAGTTCAGTGTTCTCTGCTGTGAGGATGACCTGAGCTTCTTGTCGAAGGGCTGAGGATGTTGTACTTGGAATTGTTAAGAGTTTATGAGCCAGGTCGACTTTGACTTTGGTCAGAGTGTGGAGGGTTTGGACAAGCTGCTGTGCAGGGCCGCTGCAGTGTTCACTGCACCCAGACTGTGAGGACCAAGAACATACAGTGTAATCAGTGAAGACATAAATGTGAGGGTCAGCGGGAGGACATGCTGGAGCAGGACTTGTTCTCCTGACTCACCTCTCGATGACCGTGTTGTTATTCTGAAGCTCTCTGACCAGAAGCTCCATCTCCTCCTTCAGGTGGTGCATCCTGTCAGGAAGTCAGACGTGTTAGCTTTGGAGTTAGAGATGCACAGGTCGACACCGTTAGCTACCAGTGATACGGAACTGATAAAAAAAACAAACAAAACTTTTCCAAACAAAAGCATCATTTTTTTTCGTGAGGACAAACTCACACTCACATTTAGGAGCTGATGAGTCGTTAGCATGGGAATATTTGACAGTGAGTCATGAAAGTTCACCAGTTCACCATTTGTAATATCAGTTACTGAAAGGTTAACGAATCCGATTTTTTTTCTGACATGAAATATCAGTTACTGAAAGGTTAACGAATATGATATGACATGAACAGAGATGATTTGGATGGGAAAAAAAAAGAGGCAAAACCTGACGTTAAAGTTCAGAAGTTCCTCCATATGTTAGCAGTTAAAAGCTACTCTTTTTATTATTATTATTTGAAAAAATAGACCTTAAGAACTTTATTTTGAAAGTTGTTGAATTGAAGGGAGTAACTGTGACTGAGTGCAGTTTGTTGGAAATGTTTTTTTCTGTTTATGTTGTCAAGTCACTCTTACTGGAAAAAAACAAAAACAAAACGGAAATTAATATCAGCTCAAAAAAAATTACAATCAGTGCATCTCTAAAAATCTGTGTATCAACCACAGAAATGTTGTTAAATGAGAAGATGAATTCACTGCTGTGGTGCAGACACAAATCACTGTGCTCTGACTTTTTTTTTCCCTCCTCTGGTAAAACTGCAGGATTAGCAGTTCATAAACAGTTGTTATTTGACCATGAACACGGGTGAAAAGGTGCAGATCTAAAATCAAATATAAACATTTTTCATGTGACCTGGTTTGTGTTTCCTGGGCTGAAGCTGTGTGAACAGGTTCTAACAAACACAAAGACCACACAAGTTCACACCTGGACACCATCTGATCTTTGTCCTGCGCTGTGACTCCCGGCTGCTGCTCTGTTCTGTTGGCCTGCAGACTGGAGAGCATTCTGTCCAGAACCTGAGAAACACAGATGAGAAACAAAAAAAAAAAAAAGAATTGTCAAATTACATGATCTGCAATTACTGAAAAACAATAAAAAAACCAATTGGTCCTCAAAGACTGTGGATATGTAACAGAGCAGCACCAGAACAAAGACAGTTGACTGCTGACCTGGACAACGACAGAACACAAGAAGCTCTTTGCTCAGTTCTATGTCAGTGGCAGAGACTAATCGGTACCTTATTCTGGCACTGCTCAGTCCGCTCCAGGTCTGCCAACAGGCCTGTGGAGAAAGAGGTGAAGTCATGCAGTCGTGTCTGCATCTCCTGTAAGATGCTGCGAATCCAGGGACAAAAGACAGCAGTGAGTACAAGAAGAAAACGGAACCTACTGAGTCTGAATCTCTCTTATGAAGAGAAACAAAATAAATAACCAAAAAAAACAACAATACAAGAACAAAATATACATACAAGTTTTAATCTATTTGTATCTCAATGAGGGAAATAAATATGAGCATAAATTTAAGATTTTTTTAAGATCAGAAAAGGAGGAGAAAGTCTGTCAAACCAAGGAAACAAATACACGTATTTGTTACTAATGTGACTAAAAAATTCAGTTCCTTTATCAAGCTGTGAATGAGGTGAACAATTTCTCACAGCGCAGGAGTCGACTGCTGCGTCTGCTGCGTGTGCGTTTTCACTCTCCTCTCTGCAGAGATGCTGCAGATGGAGGAACAGAGGAGAACAACGCAGCTGCAGCAGAGTCTGGTGTTCACGCCTCAGCACACAGAACAATCACCGTGAGTGGAAAAAAAAATGATCAAGAGCATCTCCTGCTAATGAGACCAAATGAGTCGACTACTGATTCACTAATATCTACACCTGGATTTTAATCCATCCAAGCCGTGGCTGAAGTAGTTGATAAACATGCATTTATACAGTAGAGCCAATTACAACAAGCCAGATGTGATGACCAATGGCATGGCTGAAAAAATATTGGATTTGAATGAAGGAGAGACTGAAGAGGCCAATCACCCAGCTCATTGAATAAAGGAAGTAAAATGACACATTAATATATGTTTCCTACTCTGAGACAAATAACAACAAATTTCAAAGTGTATTTGAAATGAACTTGGACCCCAAACTAATACGTCTGCGACAGCTTGGGAAGCCCCCGCCCCCTACTTTGGGAACCGCCACTTAAAGTAAATGCTTCTATCTAAATGTCAGTAATGTTTTCATATATATGAGTGCATATATTAGACAATATTCCAATTCTATTTCAATGTTAGTGAAGAACCACCTGCTCCATGTCCCCACTGAGGCCAGCAGCTCTCGGTATCTGTGCACACAGTCATCTCTGAACAGAGACTTCACTCGTTTGATGTGAGTCGACAGGTGGATTCTGGGAAACAAAGAAAAAATAAAAGGAGATTTATTGTAGGGGGCGCTCATGCCAGAACCAGTACTGTCTAAATGAGCTGGACATAGAAGAACATAGAGTTATATTTACTTTTCAAACTTGTGGATTTGTTCATCGTTATAAGACAACTCTGTGATGAAAAAAGAGGAGGTCGTCAAAAAAAAGGTCATTAAATTTGTTGTTTGGACCCAGACTTTCACATTATTTTCCTAAAAAGAGAAACACACGTACTGCCGGTGAGTCTGTCCTTGCGATACTGCTGGTGAATCGCTGTTATCTTCTGAAGGAGCGTCTCCATTTTCTGGCAGCTGCAAAAACAAAAACAGTCCAGGGATCCCAGTTAAAGAGCTGTTTTCTAACCGTGGGTTTCACACCTGCACCTCATCTACCTCTTATCACTGGCCTGGCTCTCCGTGAACTTGGCCTGTTCTATCAGCAGCTGCTCCAGTCGGTTCTGGAACTCGTGTATTCCTGCGGCGTATATGGGCAGATGTTGGTGAACCTGTGGAGGAAGTAAAAGACAGAACTTTTTACAGCAACTGCTCATGTAAAATAAATAAATAAATAAACACACATTCATTTAAAATATCTGGGGTCTTATTTTTTTCTCCCTCAAGCATCATTTAATTATTTCTTATCCAAACTATTTGCTGTTCCATGTCTCCAGTGTTTTATGAATGGACATAGACATAATGCTAAGATGCCTCAAAAAATGGGGTCTTAAAATGTTTACTCTAATGATGACGGATGACGGCGGTCATAAAACTACTGAGGGTTTCTGAATTATCTTCATCACTGATCAGTGGAAGAACTCACCAGCTGGAGTTTCTGATCTGATGAACCTTGGTTTTCTGAGTTAAAACCACTGAGGGGAGAGGGGGTGGGGGGAGAGAGAGGGAGAGAGAGAGAGAGAGAGAGGGGGGGAGGGGGAGAGAGAAGTTTTCATATGCAAAAAAGTAAGTGTACTATAAGCAACTATAACAATGAAGACTGGATTATTGACAATACAGGAATAAGAATTATGAATATATTTCTACTGTTTATTTACACATTTTATAACTTTTTTTAACCTACAGCTGGGTGCAGCTTATAAACGGTGCATTTTTATTTCCATGCAGTACTGTTCAGGAGTGCAGCTACAATCTAAAGAACCGAGGTGCTCTACATCTGCTGCTCTGCACCAACAACACCATTCTTGTTAATGTTAAACCTCCAGGATTAACCATTGTGACCAATCAGTGATTAAAACCAACGTCCCACAGTGGAGAAGGACTGAGAGTGCAGCCAACTGTAGTCACATCAGAACATGAATCCTGACGTGTGGAGAGACAAACTCACAACGTGTGACTCCTCTGCTGTAGGACGAGGCAGGACTGCAGTCTGACGGTGATCAGTGCGATGCTGTGAACGGCTTCTCCACACTCTCTCCGCAACTTCATCCTGGAAGTGTCAAAAAAAAAGAAAAATGGAGGCAGTGAGTGCCGCAGCTACTAAACAGAACTCCTGGAGATTTAGAGGCCTTCCTCACATGTAGCTGTAGTATCCCTGCAGCAGCAGCTCTGTGTGTGTGCGCAGCGACCGCACGATCCTCAGATACTGGTGAACCACTCCGACCATCGCCTGGGCAGAGAAACGGGTTGAAGGGAAATCATAAAAAGTCAATCATGAGGCAGTTTGTCACACACAAACATCCTGTTAGACATGAGTGTGATCAAAATAGTTACCTTGGAGAAACTGTAATCTGCCACAACTTCAAATCTGGATGGGATGACAGGAGACTCTGCTGCAGAAAAGAGAGTAAAAAATAATTCTAAGATATTATGTTTATATAATATAATAGGACTGTTTTCATGTTGTGTATTATGTTCTTATCATTGTGTTTGTGTTTCTATCAGACATGACTTACTCTGTATGTCCAAATTATATAATTATATAAATATTATTGTTGTAAAATATGATGCAATACTTAATATATTCCTCTGTAGCAGTTGACACCAATGTTGTTATTTAAACACACTGTGGGGAAAAAGTTTCCATTTCATTGAAGCTCGTTGAGCTTGAATTGTTTACAGGGTCAGACGCCTGACCTGGGGTCAGACCAGATGTCATAGAGTGCTGGGCAGTCAGTCAGTCTACAGTTGACAATCTGACTGAGGACTGTAGACCAATTAATACTGTTGAAGACAACAGTTTGACTGAAGTTTTGAAGGCAGCTCTTCAGGAACGACGTGCACCGTAATGACTAAAATCCACCAACTAAACTATGGTTGGTCTTACGTTCTCTGAAGGGCAGGCTGACGTTAGCCTCAGGCTTGTAGCTGAGCAGCAGCAGGGGCTGGGTAGGTGAACTGCGTGGGAGGTTGACCACCTTCATGTTGCCCTCCAGGGGGAGGTCATGACCCAGGTAGAGCAGATGTTGCTGCTGAAGCCCTATACCAGTCTGGGACGCCACCTCCTCGAAAAAGACCGACACTCTGGACAAAGAGACGGATTCAGTTTAAACAACGGCAGCGGTCGACTAGCCATCCAGCATGTGGTCATTTACAGTAGCCGTAACAGACGTACGTGTTGTAGTGGTGTACATAGATGGAGTGGACCGCGGCCTGCTGCAGAGCAAAGAGATGAACCGGCTGACGCTGCAGTATGTCTGTGGTGGCTGTGAAAAACTGGTCAAAGCCCCAGCACTGCTGCTGGTCTGCCTCCAGGATACCTGCTAGGACTGGGACTAAGAGCGCCTTCAGACCCCTGCGGACACACAGACGGAGAGAGACACACAGACGACATTAGAGGGATTCTGGGAAATGAAAGCATCACGTGCTTCCATATAAATGTTTTATTTTTTTTTTCATGTTTGCTCAGTGACCTACAGGGACAGTTGGCAGCTGTGAGGCAGGTCGTAGCTCCAGTCTATAGGTCCACCCTCCACCCGCTGTATTCCAGCGATGGCATCTGTGGGTTTCTGTGTAGTTATTTTAAACCTGCATCAAACACCAACGTCAGTGATCGTGGATTAGAAGTTACTAAAGTGGAAGTGACACTGAAACTAGGCCGCAGGTGGGAATGAAAAAAAAAAGAGATCCTGTTATGGTCCACAGTTCTTGGTAATGTCAATAATGTCACTGCAGCATGAACTAAAAAAAGATCTAAATGAACAAACAGTGAAAACAGTGTAATTCAAACACTCGTCAGTTAAATAAAACCCAGGTTTAAACTTTAACGTCACTAAGGATTTGGTGTTAACCACGGCATAGCTTATTTTCTACAGTTAAGATTTAAAGTTAACCTTGAGATTATCAAATCAGCCTCATGATAGGGATGAGGCACCAGTAACTTTCTTAGAGGTTAGGGTTTCAGCTGGTTATGAATTTACACTGCAGCACTATAAAGAACCTGAACTTTAAATAATGCACTTTTCTAAAAGTCTGTATTATCACACCAGTTACTGCATCACATCAAATACATGTAGTAGATGTTTATGACCTTTAAAAAAACAACAACAAAAACAACAGAAGAACAAAATATATTTACTCACATCAGAGGTTTGTTTCTGCGAGGTCCTTCGAAGGGTGTGAAAGGGAGACTCCCAGTGGCAGTATGGTAAAATGTCACACCAATGCTCCACAAGTCAACGCTCACTCCATAGGACTTCTGGTGAGGTTTACGCAACACTGCGCGTTCATACATGTCTGGATGCTACACAGAAACACACACAGAAACACACGTTGTTAGTCGTTGTTAGTTTAAACTCACTTAAAGATTTTTCTATATTTTATGATTATTTAATATCGGGTATATTTTGCCATTTGGCCACCAGACGGCGCCCCAGTCTTCAAAAGCAGTGTATTGGCATTGTTTGGCCTGATTTTTTTTTATCCATTCAGTTCCGTTTCAAAGCTCACCAGATATTCCTCAGTCCCGTAGATGGACATAAACTTCTCATCATCCTCCAGCTCTCTTGCTGCTCCAAAGTCTGTCAGTTTGTAAACAGACCTGCCGTCCTCTCCCACCTGACGCATGATGTTGCCCGGCTTGATGTCTCTGTGAACCACTCCGTTCTCACGTAGGTGGTTCATCCCCTGCACTGAACGCAGCGTGACAAGAATTCGTTGACGAGGGAGGGATTCAATTACAGGGCAATATGAAACGAGAAGGCAACCCACCTACACACTGTAGCACCGTGAGGAACTCAGGCTCAGGGAGGCCGAAGGCATTCTCCGGTTCCTCCAGCAGACTGAGCAGACTTCCACCTGAACAATATTCCATCACCAGTACCTTCTGCTTAGAGGGAAGCTAGAGACAAGGGAAACCTCTCAACATGACTTCAAAACATTTTTTTTATTTCTATTTGCTAACATCATCAGATCTGATCATTTTAGCAACTCAGGGTTAAGGAGTACATTTTTATAGTTATTTGTTGTTGTGTTTTTTTTTAGCAGCGTCACCTCTTCCACAGTGTGCAGCTTGACAATGTTGCTGTGGTTGAGCTTCCTCAGCATCTCAAACTCTCTCATCTGGACATCGTGGGGACGGTTGTAGCTCTGCAGGTTTTGGGGTTTTTTTTTTTTTTTGGTCGCCTCCACAGAACTTTTTATTTAAACTCTGTAAAACACTTTCCTAAAGAAAACGCTATTCTCATTAAACACACAAAATAATCTTTCAAATCAGTTCAATTTCCCCAGGTGATTATCAACGTCCTGCCTTGATCTGTATTTTGTCTTTGACTCTCAGCAGGAGGAAACATTGTATTAAGATGAATGAAAATCATTAATTACAAAATACAGTATATTTAATGGTTTTCAATAGCACCAAAATCCTATCAGCATATTTGTCATCTTTTACCGACTTTTGATCAACATTTGTGAACAGCTTATTGGTTGGAAGTGAATGTCAAATCCTCTGTGACAGTTTTGTTGTTGTTTTTTTTTTAAAAATTGTCTTCAGTCTTCCAGTAAAGGTGCATGGTAACAATTTAAATAAGCAAGTGTCTATATTGAAGGCAGTCTCAGTGGTTTTAACAGACACATTATTTGGACCCAATGATGTAAATATTTGTATAAAACCATAGTAATACAGAGAGAAAACCTCTGTCTCATCAGGTACGGAGCGTGAGATTCATGTCAGTGTGTCACACGAACACACATCAAAAAGGTAAATGTAGACCATTTTTATTGTTGAGTTGATCAAACACCGATTGCAGCACAAAGAACATTCGGAGTCAACCCACACAAACCACCACCGTCTCGAATTTGCCCCACATCCTTCAGCTGTCTTTGAAGAAAACAGTAGGTGTTGATCAAACACGGTAAGATGATTGAGAATGACTTTCTTGGACTCAAAATAAAACAACATTAAAGCGTGCTTTAAGGATTGCTGCTGAAAATATTCAACGCACCTTGTTGCGTGCTTTGTACACACTCGCAGTCGCCCCTTGACCCAGGACGTCCTGCAGTGACCACAGGTAGTTGGTCGTGCTGGCTGTCACCACCGACATGCTGGGAGAAAAGGAGAGAATGATGATTAAAAAAAAAAAAAACAACGACAGGAGGATGTACGTGCTGGCATCACTGGGCAAACTTTTTGACTTGTTGGCCACAATGGGTCCTAAAATGGGGCCAGAGAGATGTTCATGTGAACTAAGAAAAATTACATGTAAAAATCAAGCATGAATGTTTTAGCCTTTTCTACGCCATCTATTGGAGAAATACGGGCATTGCAGGGAAAAGACAGAAGTATAATGATAATATATATTAATAATATAATTTGGACAAATTTAGAGGGCAGGATTAAACGGCCAAACGGGCCGCATTGGGTTCTCGGGCCGTATTTTGACCATGCTTGTCCTAGTTACTCCAGTATATCAATGTAGCTGATTCGAAAAAATGTATGAAAGATCTCATGGTGACTGGTGAAGAGTGTGTCCACGGCCACTGACTACAGGAACTACAGAGGTCAGCTTCTTTACAAGAAGCACAAACAACAAATAACAGGCAGTGGTTAGCAAAGTATACGCAGTACGCAGTAACTACAGTACTAAAGTATGCAGGAACTACAGGAACCCCGGTACATTTAATTATTGTCCAAATAGATCAGTAAATATCTTCAACTCCTGCATAAAAAGGTGGTCAAGAGACTCAGCTGTGAAGAAAACACAAGATCTGGGGTGCAGTAAAAAACAAACAAACAGTCAAGCAGCAGAAGTTGCTCTCAACAGATGGACCAAAAAATGTGTTCACTAAAAACTGACTTTTATTTTCTGCCAGTCATTTCTTTCGTGGTGGGCTGTGGAGTTAGTCATTCTCACTTATAGTTAATCTAGTTAAAATCTCCTGTTAATCTGATCCTACATGACTGGGGTTATTCTGAAGAAAATCCCCACAACAATGGGGAAAAAACATAGAAACTCCATCCAACAGTTAATACCCGGGACTCGAATCACTTAACTTTTCTATTTACATAGATTTTATAGGAAGTGTGACACGAACTCATTGACTGGGTGGAATACGACAGTAGTCATGTTTTTTATTTAAATGCTGAATAGTGTCTGCGCGCGCGTGGGTGGGTGTGCGTGCGTCCACTGAGACAAACGCTGACTAACTACTAAGAATGAAAGAAGACAGAGAAGCTTCTGAACAACATGGATTGTTGTCGTCAGTTTACCTGCCGTGTTCAGTCCAACTCGGTCGCTGCTTCCAGTTGTGCTGTTTTTACGACAGTCGGTATAAACTATGAACTTTATAAAACAAACAAACAAGAAAACAACTAACTCAGCTGTGTGGCGCTTCCGTCAACATAAACGCTCGTCTCCACGGTCCAGTTAAAAACACGTCCTCGCGTGTCGTCCACCGCTCCTCTGTGTGGCTCCACCCGCGCCACTACGCAGGTGAGCTCTCAGCTACACGGTCACTTTTCTCAGACATGTTCACCCTTCATGGCTCCGTGTTCGCCGCAGTGTGTGAAGCAGGAAGTGCGGCCCTGTGACGGGGCGGTCTCTGCTCTGCAATGATTGAGGAAACGCAGGAAATCAACGCAGGGAACGAAGAATGTGTAAACAAATGTCAAACGCGTTCCGACTTTCCGACCGACACGGTGTCGTGTCGACTCCTGTTACCCTGTCTAAATGCGTTCCTCATCAGATTTATTATACATAGGTTTATTTCTTTTTAGTTTAGTTTAGGTCATATTTTCTGTGACAACAATTAAGATAAACGTCCGATTGTTATCTTTTTTATTTTTAGTTATTATTCATAAATGCATAAAATTCAGTAGGCTTCACATTTAGACCTGTTTTCCTTCAGTTAAACTCATATTAGTTCAGTACTTTCGCAAATTTTACAATGCAAATGTTATTTGAAAGCTATAGTAGGAATAAAGCTGTTTGTTATAAACACCATGTTTTTATGTTATTTATATTTTTCTCTATGAATAATCTTACTTTATTGATAAGGTTTATTAGAATCCAAACTTAATCTTACTTTATTGATAAGGTTTATTTTCCAGATAGAAGCCAAACATTTTGAAAGAATACACATCTTAAATTTAGGAAACTAGTTAGCCGCAGTAGAAGCCAAACATTTTGAAAGAATACAAATCTTAAATTTAGGAAACTAGTTAGTTGCTGACCCAACTTTTAAGCTAGGCTAACATAACATAAGAAGATGAATTTTATGGTTTGTTTTTTTATTTTGTTTACTTAAGTGTACTGTTAAATTCAAAATATCTCGTGTGTACCTGTGAATCTATGGTGGTGGTTATGTTTTTTGTATTTGTTTCAGTTCATTTGGCTAAAAAAGTGCTTAACATATGTTGTCATTTTATTGTGTTAAACAGAATGTAAAGAGAACACATAGCTCCTCAGTTATGGTAACCTGTTTCTGTTTACTGTCATGTTGTACTGCATTTCTGCTATTAAAAAAAAAAACCTGGGCGTGGGCCCTGGATGATTTGCAACATTTAGGGTCCTGTGAAGTATGGAGGCTGTGGATTAGGGGAAATCCAGACTTGAAGGCAAACATATGGTGCATTCACAGCTGATGAATGAAAGTGCAGTATGTCAAAATGTCATCTGTGGGATGTGCAGCCCACCACAAACTCAGTGCAGTTCTGACTGACCATTTTTCAGCTCAAAGGCTGAGGTGATGAGGTCGAACCTGAACACGTCAGTATCTCATTGGTCATGCATTCTTCTGCGTAGCCCCTCGTACCCCCTGGTCACTCCTTCACGTTCCCCTTGATGGCTAAGCTCAGTTTAGGCAGGTGTTTAGTTTTCTTGTATTTTTATTAGACCCACATGTTGAGAATCTTTATAGCAAGCAATGTTTATTAAAAAAAAAATCCACTACAAGAACTACACATAGAATCATATAAGGCCCTATTTGATTAAACTACTATTGCTATTACTGTACAATATTGTACCAAAGAAAAAGAGTGTACCTCTGTAATGTACAACATTGTATATACAAAGTACATCTGAACACAGGATTCTCCAGAAATACAGAGACAACTATAAATAATTTGACATTACGGTCGTTTTTCTTTTTAGTTCTGCTGTTTTCAAATGGACACAAAATGCATATATAACAATATTCAACTCTGACAAATCATCTCCACACACAGTTAGTCCACACACAAGCAACGTTGTTCAAGTGCATGATGATTGATTTGAGATCACAGGGTGTCCCGGCTCCTCCCCGCAACACCGCCGGGACGAAACACAGCAACCTACTTAAATGTGTGTGTGAGTGTGTGTGTGCGTGCGTGCGTGCGCTGACCACAAACTCTCACACACAGTCACAGTCCCTCCAGTTGTTGTGATGAGGTAAGAGCAACACAAATATATCAGGTATTACAATACACAAACAATATACAGAAAATACAAAGGGACAAAAAAAATGAACAAAATTATTGGTAAAGAGCAAATCGGAATGCAGTATGTGCTGTGATTTGAGGAAACGTTTTGAAGAATGGAGCATATATTGTATATATATGCATATATGTATGCATATGAATATACATACATATATGCATATATACACATGTATACATACATATATGTATATATACACATATATACATATATAGGTTTATATATATAAATATATATAATACCACCACACTATACCAAGTTAATATTAGTTCAGTACTTTCGCAAGAAAGTGAAGTACATTATACACCTTGATTCTGCATTTAGTCATTGAGTCGATCTGAATCCATCGCCAGATTCAATGTTGCTAATGCACAAACAGAATATTATCAAATACCATCAGGAACAAAGTTGGCGAAAAGTTCCTCAAAGTTCAATTTTCCTCATCTAGGTTTCTACCTAAAGCTGGTCTGCCACTGGTGTCACAGCGCTGACTGAAGACAAGACACGTCATGTATCCCTGCACAATTGAGTTCATCGGATCACACAAACACAGTGCACGTTGATTCAGGCTGCTGGTGCTGCACAGCGTAAGAGTCTTTCTGCGTGTTCGCAGTCACAGCTGCTGCCGTTGGCGACGATGGCATCCCTTTATGTTGAGTGACGAAGGCTGGGCTTGAGGCGCATACTGTACGTACTCTACATCCACACATGCTCACACACACACGCACACACACATACTCCGACAGTTCACCAGTCAGAGCAGAGTCGGAGCTTTAATAAACCACTAGGGGCGTAATAAAAGCAAACCTTACACGCTGGATGAGGTGGTCGGTTGTGCTACTGAAACGCATGCGGCAGGATCCTCAGCTCCATGCTTCCAGTTATGATTTACTACACTTACAAACCATTAGATAATAATATCAAACCCTTCTTACTGTTAGGTCTTCTGGATATATTTAAAAAGGAGCAAGCAGTGTCTCTGTCTGAAGTCTTGAGAAAGGTCAACTAATGCGAGTGGCCAACAGGACTCAGGTGCCTGTATCTGTGGCCCCAGCATGCACTCAAAACAAAACAAAAAACCCTGAAAAGGTGTTTAGCTGCCACAAAACACCACCACACACTTAAAAAAGAAAAAAAAAAGGATTCTGTGTGTACAGTCAAACTTCGCATATTAAACGGAACTGATGGAAGTCAGTGGTTCTACAGGAGAGCAGCAACAGAGTGTGCCTCATGCTACAAGTTATTTTTTTTGTTTCAGTTTTATTGCTATACGTATGAATTTAGAATTACTTTTGGCCATGTCAGGAGGATGAAGAGCTGCCCCCGGCTACGCTCCTGTTGCTACTAGTACAGAACAGCAATATAAAAAAGGAAAAAAAAAAACGAATCACCAGCCTTTCAGACACTGGAGGAAGTCAAGAGAAAGACTAATATTTGGCCCGGTGTTCTATAATCATCCAATAACTCCACCTGCTGGTACTTCACCCCTGAAGCAGCTGAGCAAGGCCGCGAGTTTCATCTTAACACGGAGCCAGGAACTAAGCATTTCACAGACTATTCATAGGAACCAACACTTCATTCCAGTGGGCTAGTCGTTGGGTCAGTGAAACTGTCATATCAACTATACAAAATATTCAAACAGTGCTTTTTGTTCCTCACCCGGCTCTACTTGTAAAGAGAAGTAAACACTCTCTCATACAAGATTTCCTAACTAGTGTACAGAAGCCTCCAGGTTGCTGTTGGTCTCCATCCTGAGTCCTGTTCCCTTTAAGAAGATACTGCATTATCTACGATGGAAAAACAACAAAAAGAACTTGTCCATTTTTTTAACTATCTACACCTCTGTGACAGTGAAGAGCTGCCAGAACAAGTTGGGGGAAAAAACCCTCCAAAGGGAACAAGGATTCTGTCAAATTTCAGCCCAAAGTGTTTGCTACACGTGGGTGATGCTTCTCACACCTGGTAGAAACGTTTGTGTGGATGACACTGTATTAAGCAGGGCAGGATTTGTCGTTAGGCTGAGGGGGCGGTGGAGGAGGAGGAGTGTGGGGAAGAGAGTGTGGATGGCCTGTAGGTGGCGGCGTGGGGGGAACGGTGGAGGTCGGTGAGCCCGTAGCCGGACTGCCTCCTCCTCCGTTCTTTGGGAAAACCACTGGCTTGGGTCTGGTCGCTGGTGGACGCAGCTCTCTGAAGGAAGGTACAGAGGAGGAGAGGGAAGAGGAGGACAGGGTGGGGGAGGTGGCAGAAGGCAGGGGGCTTCGCGGCTGGCTCTTGGCCGGGCGGAAGGAGGAAGGGACGTCGCTCGCGGAGGAGGCGCTGCGCTGAAGCGGGTGAGCGTGGGAGCAGCCTCCCTCACCGTCCCGCAAGAGACGAGAGTGGAGTGGGCTTGACGGCTCCGACGCTCCTCCTCCCCCCCCTCCCCCGCTGACACCTTTCAGCTGCTCCAGTGTGTCCAGGACCACATCAGGGGTGTGTGTGTGCTTGGAAGTGCTCTGTCTCTCAGCTTTACTGAGATCAGTCACCATCTCCATGTCCTGCAACAGACACGGTCAACATCATGAACTGAATATGAGGAATTGACACGTCTCTGTCAGACGGAGGCTCTGGGTGTAGCCATCATCAATCCCAGCAGTCATCATCAGGCTCACCATCACTTATCTATTGTCCACTTCAGGTGTGAAACTCATTTCCTCAGTTGAGGTCAAACAGGTTAAACAGTCTAGTACTTCACCAACCTGCTGAAAGGCAGACTGTGAAATTGACGTGCATTATGGGTGATGTAGTTTTTAATAAACGTACGTAAACGTATGCTTGATTAGAATTAGTTTAAGATTGGTGGTGGGCCACGTAAAATAATGTGGTGGGCCAGAATCAGACCACAGGTCTGGTACAGGAATATGGATGGACATCACAATATCTGCAAATCACTACATCTGTCACATGGTTATTTTTCTAATTGGATATTTCAGCAAGCAATTCAGTACTCCATCCAATCATATTCAACATCCTGCTCACAGATCATCCTATTGGACAAAATGTTCATCATATTCTATCAGTTAAGACTAGAAAAGAAGACGCCTCATTTCACATAGACTTTCGTCCATGTAGTTCCAACACTTCTGCTCTCATCAATGACCACAAAGGACTATGTCCAGTTGTTTTAAAGTCTACAGTTATTTACACACACAAATGTAGGTGATTAGACTGTTAGCAGTACCTGTGAGCTGTGCTCCACCTGGGCTATAAACTCAGGGTCTAGTGGTCTGTGGTTACTGAAGCTCTTGGAGCGTCCTGCAGTCGACGTCTTCTTCAGCTGTGGACTCTCCACCTGAACGTTCGCAAAGACCATATTTAAAAAATGAAGCAGTGTCTTTACATCCATCTAATGACGACAACTCCAACTAACAATACCTTGGTTTTCAGAGACGAGTGTCGAGTGACTGAGTTCAGGATACTGTGAGCGCTGACGGGGCGTTTGTCACCGCTCTCTTTGACCAGAGCCCCGCCTACAGGAAGTGACGCTGCTCTGCCTCCTCCACTGACACCTGGACTGGTGTTGTCAGACTCCGAGCTCCGGAATGTTCTTCGGATGTTGGCAGACTCTGGACGCTTCCTCATCCTTGATTAGAGAAATATTTCAGACTTCTCTTCGAGTAAAAGCTCATGATATCAAACAAACAACAGTTTTACATTATACTTCTTCTAACCGTCAGCGACGACAAATAAACATATAGTAAATTTAAACTGCTTCGCACTTGTTCAGGTTGGCCAGGTAGATGTCGGCTACATGAGCGCCGGTAGGAGACGCAGCACTGACTCTAGTGGAAACTCTCTCCTCCAGCAGATGGTCAATGTCAGGTTTTGGACTTCCTCGTCCACCGTCAGACCTGAAACCATAATTACATACAGTACATCATAAAAAAAAATCAGGCATGTTCAATTTACTGTATATTTACAAAGTCCCAACAGCCAAAAAATTGCATAATGAAGAAAAAAAAAGTCCTTCTGGAGAATAAGTCGCACCAGCCAGCTAGCTAGAGTGCCCTCTGGTGGCTGCCAGTGTGAAAATAATGAACATGTAAAATTTCAGTTGTCCCGGAGTAGCAGATACTGGTACATAAGCCTAGAGCGCCCGCTAGTGGCTGTCAAAATAAATGTGAAAATAACCAATGTGAAATTATACATTTTAATATATAAGTTGCACCTGAGTAGTAGTAGTGAGTAGTGAGTAGTCGCAAACCCAAGTTGAAAAATCAAATCCATTCTCTATGTATTTGTTGAGTATCAACAATGTAATCAATCTGACTGAGCCTCAAACCCTTGGTTATTTAAACTATTCTCCACATCTCTGAGGATAGTATACTAATACATTTACCTGACATCAAGGGATTGTGTATTTTGGCTGTTGTTGATGTGTTTCTTGTTTCCTGGTTGAAAACCTTAGTACATATGTTGTGTTTGCTACTGTATTAAAAGGACTAACAACTGTCCACTTTGACTGTGTCAATGCAACAGATGAAATGACAAAGAGGTCAAGACTTTATGATATTCTGATTTTATCACGGCAGATCAACTTCCTTAGGAACGGGGATTTCCAGTGAACCGCTTCTTTGGTTACATCTGATCACACAAAAGAATGAGATCACCCTTCTGTTTTTGGTAGGAGGCTCCGGATTTGAATTTTCCAAAACCTCCTTACAGAGGAGTGAAGGGGAAACTACTGTGATGTGTAACAGACTGTTTCTCGACAGGCGTGGGATTATGGTTTGGTCTCTCGCCAAGAGCTTCAGTCAACGCCGAGTTCGAAATACGAGAGTTGAAAGCCATACCTCCATGTAATAATCGAATATCGGCTTTTATTATTATCCATGACAAATCTTGGGTTCTGTATCTGAAAAAGCTAAAGAGATGAACAAACATTTCTTACATGTCTTGCACCACAATGTACTGGTGCGGCACCAGTCCATCCACTCCGTTGTGCCGCCCCTCCCACCAGTCGTCAGAGGCTCGCTGGTACAGAAGCAGAGAGGCGCCCTTTTTGAACGACAGCTCCCGACTGGTGCGTCCAGAGTAGTCGAATCGAGCGATGGCTTCGATCGGGTCGGACTCTGAAACATTCAAGGAGCCTAAGATTCAGAGAGCGGCGAACAGAGACGGGGAGTGGCACAGAAGAGGGAGGGAAGCAGCGGACGACGAGGGGAGAACACAGATGGTGGAGAGACGAGGAGAGGGAGGTGGAGAGACGAGGAGAGGGAGAGAAAACAGGAGGAAGGAGACGAGAGGCCTGATTAGTGCGTAGCAGGTTAGCGCTGCTGTATCTGGTGACTGTGCAAAGATTAGATCAAAGCTAAGCAGCTACAAAGCAGCACAAACGTTGATCAGTTTTATGACTGACAGTTAAATGAGCGCTGGTTTAAAAAGGTAGTGGCAGAGGAAGTGTCAGAGGTGAGGAAAGCTGGGTGACAGCTAGTCACGTGTGTGCTGTGACTTATTCACCGTCTTCACTGTTGTGGCTGACAGCGACCGTGTCAGGTGCAGGCTCTTCCACCAGGGGGGGCTCACAGTGGGGACTGTCACTGAGGTGGAAAGAGATGTGAGAGAAATACTGTTACAGAAGCAAAGACAATAATAAGACAATACATTATGGATGAAGTCCTGAATGAAAAAGGCAATCATTATGTAGAAAAAAAATAACAGATTTTGAAAATTACATAATTTAATCATGGTAACATATTTTGGGACATTTTTGTGAAAACATACAAACTTTATTTCCTGAAAATCTTTTACACTCTAAAAACAAAGTGGAATTTTTTTTACTGCCTAATTCTCTACAAAACCTAATTTAGAAAAAAAATTGGTTACACATGTAGAAGTTTATTCTTGGTCACATCTACCTTTCCCTTAGTTTAACTTTTTAATAGTTTGACAACTGATGAATTGCCACCATTTTGCAGGTGGAATTATTTTATTTTTCCTAACAGATCCAGAACTACTGGGCCATAGTCCACAAACCTGGACCACAGACAGTCACCAATTATAATTATTGACATTATGACTTATATCAAAAGTACAATCATTTCCCCTTTCCCCCAAACCTATATTTCAGTGGAGGCGCCCCCTGGGGGTTTACTGCATCTTTTAGTTTTACAGAACGTAATGTTTATGTCATGTTTTTATATACGATCAGTGGGAAGACAAAGAAAATGTATCCTGCAGATGTGTAAAAATATGAGACGACATAAATCTGCAGAAATGTTCCTGTTTGATGTCATGACCTTATAGATGTAACGAGGCCAAACTGTTCCACTGTGATATACTTCAGTCTGCACTCTGACAGTTGAGCTTCTCCTCTCATGTGACTTCACGCCTAAACAACTGATCTGACTGTCAGTGATTATAAAAACTGCAGCCTGGAGCTGTTATTACAGTGAAACTGAAATGTGGCCTTTATATGCATTGTGGTGTGTGTGTGTGTGTGTGTGTGAATGTATTCTATGTGCTCCCAGGCCCATGTGGTCAGGAGGTTCTTTAATCTCCAATGTGACGGAGGGTAAGCTGATCCTCGTGGCCCCTGGCCTTGAGCAGACATGTTGACCCCCCCACCATCACCCCATCATTCAACAGCCCCTAAATCACCCACCTGCCCCCTCTTCACCCTCATATCAGCTTTGTATTCCACACCCTACATCCCGTATCACTCCCCTCATGTTCGTACACCTTCTCTTCCCCAGCTCTCACCAGAAATCATCTCCAGTTCCAGGGATGGTGTAGATGGGCCCCTGCAGGTCCTGGGGTCCAGGGAAGATGGTGTCATGGTGGATGATGATGGTCTTAATCAGCTCATTGACGTGAGCCTGGCAGGAGACCTGGTCGTGGCCCTCTGGGACAGACATCAGCGTGGGGCCAAAGCAGATGGCCAGGTTGTAAGGGTCCATCATGTTGTCCTCACTGTACTGAGAGAGGCTGAGAGGAGGGGAGGGGAGGGGAGGGGCAGAGCGAGAGGGGCAGGTTAGAGTCTTCAACACGGTACACACAAAATGACCAAACAACCCTGACATGTCACTAACAGCCAACATCACCTTCAGGGCCACAAGCCACTGTTTATGGATGGAGACAAATGTAGTCTATCAGATTTGGCTACAGGTCAGTGTATGTAGCAGAGACAGAAGAGGAAAAGCCCCTCGGTCTTTAGACGATCTTTGTGGGAACTTGTTAAAACCCCGCTCCTCAGATTTCACATTTCCTGTGAAATTCTGTTTTCTCTTTCAATCCCTTTCACTGAAAGGCTTTGTCATGAATTTCCAGGATTGACTGAACAGCATGGAATGTGAGCACAAAGAGAATTTACTCTGTGTGTTTGCACTTTGTTGTCCCACATTCATTTAGAAAAATAGTTTTAGGCCCAGACCTGTGATCAGTGAGTGATTGCAAAATGGAGAAATATACAGTATACAACATGTAGTATTGGTGTACAGTGATTTGTACTGAATTCAAATTACTCTGGGCGTACTTTTGGTTAATGGTTCATTTCACCAATACAACACTGGTTGTTTATTTTATATATAAATATATGTATATATTTTTATATAATTTTCAATGTTGAACTGTAGTTTAAAAAAAAACAATAACTGAGGTGAGGTTTAAGCCTCACTTAAAATTTCTATTTCATTGTAAAAAAAGTTAAACTGCAAATATTAAATTACAAAATCAATTAATTGGGATCAAAATTAGAAGATAATAAGTGACACAAAGTGTCCTTTTCATTCTGCTGTTGTGCACTTTTCTCCCGTCACTCTGCTCAGCACTCCTCTAAGACTGCACCCCAGCTGCACCCATACTCACTGGTTGAGAAAGGCAAACAGGTATCTCATAACAACCAGAGTTTTGCTTGGCAGAGATTGCAGAACTTTCTTGACGTGGACCGCTCTCTCCTGGAGGCTCTCCATCGCTGCAAAATTATACAAAACAAAACAAACCCCCCTCCCCGACGATTATTATCACAGTCAACACACGGAGAACAGAAAACAAACCACCGGACGTTTCACGTACAGACACAGGATATGAGGTCATGAAAGACTTCTTTGGGGAAGAGGGCGTGGTCTAGTCCTCTGAAGTAGAGCTTCAACACGCCAGCGATGGAGTCCATGTCGTGGTCGTTCTGGTCCCCGGCCAGTGGGTCCTCACCTAGGAGAGGGCAGTGGGGGAGGAGGGGAGGTTGAGACAAATAATCCAAGTGACCACGTCTCCCGTCTCGTTTCCTGTTTAACCACAGTACCTCTCTCAAAGGCGTTCTTGATGTCATTGACTTCCACCTGAGAGCCTGAGACTCTGAAGATGCCCTCGTGCTGCAGACCTACACACACACAAAAAGTATTTCAACAGCCACCAACTATGTAAACGTAGGACTGCAGATTTTCAGATTTTCCCTCGTCCTCGTGCTGCAGACCTACACACACACACAAGTGACAGGGTTAAAAGTTCACTTTTGCATTTTTATATCTAGACCCAATCACATTTGTCTTAACAACCAATCAGCTCAAAGGAAGAACCAGCGCTAAACCTATCACTTTGATGGTGAATTTTACTCACCATGGCGACTGATGAAGCGGATGCAACTCTCAACCATCAGAGGAATGGCCTCACCCGAGTCCTGAAATAAGGAGAGAGGAATTTTTTCATAAGTCGACAGGATGCTGTTGAGGCGGTGGGGGAGGGGGGACAATGGGGGGCAGAGTACATGTCACACACACTGTGCATGCACATGCATGGATGCACACATTTTGGAGAAATGGGTATCACACATGGGGGAGAGAGGGTGGGCACAGTACCCAGCTGTTGCTAGGAGACAGCTTTTCCCTTTGTCTGTGGATTCCCATGTACCTCAGTGGGGTGAAGCTGCAGTGTGTAGGTACAGACTGTACTAGTGGGTTTTTATGTCTGTATTTGACGATTAATGCATTTCATTATCCTCCATTATTTAAAACAAACAGCAGATCGTTCTGTGGATTTAGACGTAATGACTTAAAAAAACACAGATCACCCACAAGAGGGAGCCAGAAACATCTCACACCTCAGACGACCGCCTTCTCTCAATCACGTGTTACTTCAGTTTGCAGGCAGTACACCAGTACAGACTTTTGTTGTATACATTGTCTAGTCATGATGCAATGTGACAAAGGAATGACGTCATGATCATCACTTCTGCTTACAGCTAGACAGAGAGTACTGTGAGGAAACGTGGAGTTAAAAACCCGGAACTTAAGCTTGTAGCAAGTCTTCGGCTTCAGCAGAAAAAAAAACAACTCATGCAGCAAGTTATGACACATAATTACCTGCTTCCTTATGGGTGAGTCCCTCTGTCCACTCATGCAGCGAGAGAGAGAGAGAGGGAGAGAGAGAGGAAAAATGTACAAATGGTCATTATGTCTGCATCATTATCTAGATTTCCTTACTTCAATCACTCAGCCCACCTACCCGTCAAGGCAGCTGTCGGTCTTTTGGCCTAAAAAAGGGAGGAACAGGAAGAAGGGTGGAGGGAGACAGATGCGTGGGGGGGGGGGGGGGGGAAGGGGAAAAAGGGGAAAAAAAGGGAAAGGGAGGAGACGAGTTTTAGTCGGGACCAGAAACAAGAGGAGGAAACGACTTCAAATGCAGAGCAGAACAAACGCTGCACTTTAGCTGTGCACGTACAACGCAACAGGCGTTTGTCCACGCAGCCTGTGAAAACATCACCCACCCAACACATGAGTAAATATACAGCTGCATCCACAGATGGTCACAGCCACCGTGACCTAGCCCTGTGTACTGTCCACACCTCCTACTGCCTGTGGATCTTGGATTCAACAGATGCTTCACATCTTCGTATAAAAATAAAGGGATTCTTTACGGTTTTCTGTCTTCTTCTGACTCTAATTTTTAAAGTTTATTTAATTGTGGATGTAAGATGACAAAAGAATAAGAGGAGAGTCTCAGTGACAGCTGTACTGGTGTGGGGGACACTCACTCTCCCCCAGGGTCTTCTGGATGAGGTCGTGCTTGGCCTCAAGCTTTGTGATCAGGTTCCTTCCTTCCAGAAACTCTTTCAGTTTCTACAACACACAAATGCATTTAGGGTCAAATTGTGACACATGTTTAAAATTACAACAAAGATGTTTCCTAAAATACATTTGAAAATATTTCCTCCTAGAGCAGAGGTCAGGGGTAACTTCAAGCCCATGGCTAGATGTCAATAATAATTTAATTTTGCTCTTAAAGTAATAATTCTTTGAAATTTGAGAATGGTGTTCAGTCTCGCCCGTTTGATGAATTTCAAAAAATAAAAAAATACACACTTTATATTCAGGATATTTTTTGTAAAGTTATATTTCATAAAATATACACAAATAATAATAAAAATCTAATACACTTAAACTTCATTTAAAAAAGATAAAAAAAATACTTTTTTAGACTCAGCTCATCTGAGCCTCAAAGGTAACTGGTGCTGACCGTGAAGTAAAACTGCTCCGTCTCCTGCTGATTGGCCCGTCTCTTGGCCAGGCTGGGTTTACTGAGATAGGATTCACTGAAGGTGGACTTGACAGATTCCATGCTGTTGCTGTGGTGGAAACAATCGGAGACATCAAAGTCCTCCACCCTCACCATGTCCTGGATGGTGGACAGTGTGGCCTCCATCGTTTTCTTCACCTGATGGGCAGCAAAGGGGAGATGAATGGATTTAGAGAAGAAAAAAAAGTGTAACAAACAACAGACAGGAAGTGAAAGATGGCCGACCTCCTCGTTCTCTATCCTCAGGGTGGAGAGTCTACACTGCAGCTGCTGACATCTCTGGAGCAGGTCGCCTTCCAGTGGCTGCTGTGCACACATCATTCCCATCTACAGGCATAGATAAAAAGTTTTTGTTTTAGACATTAAAACTCGATTATACGCTCACCTGTAAGGAGACCAGAACAACACCATTAGCCCCGTACCATGTCTCCCATGTGGGACTGGAAGTCAAAGCGAGCTGGAGGACAGAAAACGTTGTTGTACGTCTCCATCAGTTTCTGTTTGTCCCCGTTGGGCTCCAGACTCTCTGCAGCTCCCTCTAATGTCTCCAGGCCAGTGTGTTTGGACGTTTCCACATTCTGTTCTGCGGATAAGTAGGTTCTGAGGGCACGATGCAGGCTGGCGTGGTAGCCCAGGTCGCAGCACTGTCACACAAACACAAACGTTGAGTCAGGGAAAGAAATAAAACAATTGAACAGCAGATCTGTTAAAATGGGCTGCCCCTAGGAGGCGCCGAGTACATGGTTCCTCTGGGAATGAAACCCAGGACTGCCCAGTGCTGTATACTGTACAGTAGATCAGAATATGGCAAATATACTAAGCAACTATTGATCAAATATACATCCAAAAATGCAAACAATAAAATTAGTGTATCAAAAAAAGATATTATACTCACATCGATGATGTCAGAGAGGTCGTGGATGTAATATTTGAAGACACAGCCGTTGGTGGCCTCTAAAGCCAGCAGGTACTCATTCCTGGCCTTTATGGCCTTCAGCCTGTTCTCCGTGTACTTGGCTTGTCTCTGACCAAAGAGAGAGAAAAAGACCAGGATTAGCAGAGGCGTGGGAGGTAAAAAAAACACAAACGAACAAAGGACACCAATAATGAGTAACGCTGGGTAATGACAGGAATGAAAAGAAAAAGGAAAAGTCTGTGATGAAGTGAAAGGCCGTGGTATTGATCGTGGATAATAACACGTGTTGAATCACTCAGCCGTGACAGACTCCCGCTGTAGTCGACGAGGTTAGCGATAAGTCTGACCTGTCTTCATCAATCATTCATCAGACACACACAGTCAGAACAGGTGGGATGCTGTGAGACCGGCCTCACCTTCTCCTTCATCTTCTCGATCTTTTTCACGCTGGATCGTCTGACCGGCTTCTCCTCAGACTTGATGCTGGTCAGCGTGTCCGGAGACCGTGGCGTCTGACGGTCCTCCTGTCGCCCTGAGCGCCCCATCTGCTTCTCCTCCTGCTTTTCTGCATCCTTCAGCTTGGACTCCGCATTGATGCTGTCTGTGTTGTACATGTGGTACGTCTTCATCACCTGGGAACGACACACACACACACACATCTTTGGATGAGGTTTGTGCACAAATATGAAGGTGTTTTCCCACAGTCGTGTTCTGCCTTCACTCTTGGCTCGGCTTAAGAAGGGAATAAAAAAAAAATCCCAGTTTGTAGCATCAACAGAGCAGAAGAGATTTGGTGTTCAGAAGTGATGAACACAGCGTCGGCCTTACTCTGAAGACCTTCACCTTCCATTTCATTACTACAAACACTGGGGACAGAACACTGGTTTGTCTGTGACTAGTCATGTGAGAATGTGGACGTCACTCAAACCAGATCTATTTCTGTCTCCGCTCATACGCTGTAATTACACTTCAAGATCTGCTTTTATGGGCTTTCTGAGCTGAGGCTACATGCTAGCATGTGGCTCCGACCCCTGAAGTAGTAAGAAACTTCACACAAACGCACACACGCACGCCCTCACACACACACACACACCACAGTCTAACCGCTATCCTGCGGCAGTGTGTGTGTGAGTAACAGCTTTTTGGCAGCGGCCTCGACATGTGCAGCCACATGCTACGCTCGCCCCGACGGCTAGAACGGACCAAAACAACAGACAGCCAGAGACGGCAAATCAGATCAGAATGTCTCTCTGTCACAAATGTACTAATGTAAAACAGAGCACCTTCTATATTGGTGTAAAACGGGGGGGGTGTCAAATTAACTTTGGTTCAGGGGGCGCCGGCGACCTTATTAGTACAATAAAAACAAAATTACCTCTAAATAAGAAAAAGTCTCTTTTTCCCTTTTTGTTTTCATGCAAAAAAGTACATAGCCTACATATTTCCTGAACATAAAATTTTTGTGTATTTCAAAATTCATCAAGAGGGCTGGATTGAAATCTCAAGAGGGCCAGTTTGGGACCGCAGGCCATATGTTTGACACCCCTGGTGTAAAACAACACTTACTGTACTGTAATCTACACCATCTGTTCTCTGAATATCCTGGTGCATCGCATACCTGTCAGCAGCCATGTTGCCCACCTTATGGTCGGCAACCCTTATATTTTCTTAAAATAATAATAATAATAAAAAATGTAATTAAAAAACAAGCAATTTAACGTCATCTCTTGATGGGCTTCTGGTTGACCACATTCACTCTAAATACTATCTGTATAAGAAACTACATTATTTTTTCTGGATGCAAAACAGAATCTCTGCTCATACTCAAAAAAAAGCACTGGAAAAAATTGCCCTCTAATAACAGATGTTTCGGAGATCATTGCACGGATCGGCCATGTGCAGACATAAAGTTGGATTTAAAATTTTACATCCTGGAGTGAACACTGAGGCTGATATTTTTAAACATCCTGACCATATAATGGAGCAGTTAAAGTTTACAATACTGCCAGTCGCATGGAGAATGCGTGTCTTACCGTATAAAGTTCATTGAGAACCTTCAGCAGATCCTCCTGCAGCTGAACGCCGACCTCTTTGCTCTGAAGAGAGAAAGACAAGAGAAAAGTTTAACCTGTAAGAAAACTTCCAACCATTCGTCCAGTGTCGTTGTCCTTTTTCATCAACTGATCCCGACTAACGACAGTCGGTCAGTCAACTGCCACATCATCAGTCAAGACGAGGAAATCCGCCTGAACAGGAGTGGATCAGTTCCTGGTTCAGATGAACGACCAGAGCATTAGTCGGCTTGATGGATGAGGAATTAGAAGAGGAAGCTACAGATATTGATCTCACGATCGTGGGGAGGCAGATGGAACAGGAGGAGGGAGGAGGCAGGAAGGAGGAGGGGAGTAAGGCAGTATTTCTTTAGTCTCTACTGTGGTGATTCCAAAACCTTTTCTCCAGTGAAGACTGAAAACACCTTTATAGACAGGACAATCGCAGGTAGATGTGTGTGTTTCACACCTGAAATTCCAAATTATGGAATTATTATAATGGGAAAATGTGATTTTAGTCCTGACTATGTATCCTGATGGTGGTTTTTAGAATTCCAGAGTGAATTCCAAACCTCACCTACAGCCTGGTCCTCAGTCTTCAATCTCTTGCAATCCAACAGATAACTTAACTTTTACTTTGAGATGGGAAGTCTTCAATCTCTTGCAATCCAACAGACAAAGTCTGTATCTTTTTTTTTTTCTGCACTTACGATGACGAAAAATATTTTTGAGATAATTTCACTGATTTATTTTTTTATTTTTAATACTTACACATTTAAAAAAGTAAGTAGAAAGTGAGAAAGTAAAACAAGTATACTTTTTTTTTTACTGTTAGTCCCATTTTGACTTAACTACTTTTACTTGTATTGGAGTAACACTTGATGGTTGTGTATCTGTACTTAAACTCTGTTCTCTACAATGCTGTGGATAAGCCAGGTCTAAAAATAACATATTTAGACAAAAAGGGAGAAAAAATGCTTACAAGAAGAAGAAAAAAAAAGCCCAAACCAACAAACACAGACAGAGAGCAGGAGACTTTGTTGCCAGCACATGTTCAGCATCTGTTTTCCCTGAAACAGGGCACAGCCGAGGTGTGGATTACAGCAAAATGTCAGAGGTGAATTGTTTAGAAAAAAAAAAGGATAAAAGGACAGAGAAGAGGTAAGAGGGGGAGGAGGAGGAGGAGGAGGAGCAGAGAGGGTGCAGGGGAGAAAGTGACATGGGGAGAGATTTAGGACAGATATAAAAAGAACAAGAGTAACTGAGGTTCGTCTGCTCTTCCTCTTCAAAGTGCTTCAGGAAAACCTGGTTTAAAGTGACAACCTGTTGGTCTACAGTCAACCCACAGACAATCAGCCACTGCTGAGCCCCCCCCCCCACTCACCCCGGTGTCAACTGTAGATGTTGACCTCTTGACCTTGCAGCTCACCCCTGGTCGACTGTTCTAAACCTGACACTGTTGTCTCTGATCTTTCTTCAGCCCAGAGTCTGTAACGCTGTCTGACCTAAAGCTGTTAACCCGTCAGTAATGAGTCAGAAGTAAACGCAGAGATTAACATGGTAAACTTAACGCCTTATGTTGAGAACACTTTCTGAGAAAATGGTATAAAGCCTAAAATTGCTAATTTGGTAATGACTCAGACAGAAAATTCGCTGATCAACATTATTTGTCTTTGTCTGGACTGCAGGCAGGACAAACAACATTTTTGAACTTTCCCAGTTACTTAAAAATATGTCATCATGATGGGCGCACATGTTTCTTCTAAATCCCAATTCAGTAAAGTGGTTAGAAATGTTGCCTTACAGCAGGGAAGTCACTGTTATGATACCAGGCTACCCTAATTAAAGTTGAATTATTTAGAAAAAAACTGATTGCATTTTAAAGTCACTAAAAAGTAAATTCCTCATGTAATTTACTTTTTTGTGGGTTGCGATGTCTGATAAATTAGTCAATATGTCAAAGTTTAGAGAAAATGCTAAATTTGTTTTTCTTTGTTTCTGGAAACTGGTTTATACAGCCTTAAAACTCCTGCAATGACATTTCACATTCGGACATCTCTCTCCCTGAACTTTATGCTCACCTTGGCTTTTATTTTTAAATTTTATGTACTTACTGTCTTTCTGAGCCAACCAATTCAAGGTTGGAAAGCATGAGCAGATTCCTAAATATGTTTTTATTATTCAGCTTTTTCATCTAGAAAGTCAAAGTCTTTTTTTTTCTCTTGCTATAGGACAAGACTTAGATCAGAGGAGACAGGAATGAGGCTTCTGTAAGAAAAACGGACAGAAACTTTCCTGGGCCGGAGTTCATTGGATTTGGAGTCAATAAATCAAAGGAGACGAAGTACAGATGGAGGAGAGAAGGAGGAACAGGGCAGAAACATGACAGGGATTTTATTATATCAGCCTGACGCTGCGCTGTGCTCTGTCCGAGGGTGAGCACATTTTCAAAGACACACCTCTGCACATGAAAAAGACTTAGAAAGTGCAGAGATTTATTTTGAAAATCCAATACCAGTGAAGTCCTGCACTCTGTGTGTGTGTGTGTTTGTTCTCACCTTTTTGAAGAGGCGTCCTGAGTCCTCGCTGATCTGTGCGAAGCGGGGAATGATGTTGTTGAGGTAGAGGTCGGACAGGGTGGCGCGGTCGCGGCTCTCCCTCTTCACCTGCAGCAGCAGCAGGTTCCAGCAGTTCAACGGAGACAAAATGCTCTGCTCCTTCCTACGAACGCACGAGAGACGAAGACAGTCAGAAATATATTTAAATCCCCCTGGGGGCGAATACTTCCCATAAATGACTGGCACTGAGTCTCCTCTCTCATCTTCTGAATTTCTCTTTTCATCCCGCTGATTGATGCGTAGACACACGCACGGAACGTGGAGACAAAGATAGTCAACCACAAACAAACTAACTATTAAAGTGTTTGTTAAAGATCACACACACGTCTTCAAGATAATAGCCAGGGAGGGAAGAAGAGACGGATTTATGTTCTAAACTGACACCCGTACTTTTACACACACACACACACAAAAACCACAGGAGCGGTCCAAACAGTGGGCTGAGCCAAGGTACGAGCCCAGCTGAATGTGGAAAGACTCTCATGAGTACAGCTGCTGGAGAAATAAATGAAATCACATACTGTATGTAGAGCAGTGGTTCCCAACCACTGTGCCGTGGCACACTGGTGTGCCGTGAGAGTCCATTAGGTGTGTCGCGTGGAAGGTGTGGTGGCAAAACATTTTTTGTTTTGTTTGTCAATGCGATACATGCAGAACAATTTAATACCCTTCCACTAGGTGGCAGCAAATGATCACGAAAACTAAAAAAAAAGAGAATCAGAGCTGTTGAAGAAGATCTTTGTGAGTGTCTTTCTTCAATTCCTGCGCATATATCAGCGTTGTCTTCAACTAAACAGGTCGAGATTTAAACCAGAAGTTTATTATATTTTTTTGTCAGATGTTTGTTTGGTTTTGTGCCGTAGGGTTTTCCTAATGAAAAATAAAAACAGTTTGGAAACACTGATGTAGCGTCGCAAAAGCCTCGTTCATCGGACAACTTCTTCCAGTGTGTGCACAGTGTGTGTTGCCGTGTGTGTCTGTGTACACTGTCGGATGAACAATGAACGATCTTGTGAGCAAACGGATTACGAGGGAGTGTCAGTGGATGAGGAGTCTTTAAGAGCAGCTTTAGCTGGATAAGGAGAGCAAAGGGCTGCAGGACATGGACATCAAACACACACACACACACACACACATGAACACACACAAACACACAGGCAGATGACGGTCATGGAAAGTAGATTACTGACAAACACACACAGGGTCAGAGAGACAGGGAAAGTCTGTGTCTTCAGAGATAAAGGCGACATCTGGAACAACGCCTGTGTGTGTGTGTGTGTGTGTGTCACACTAAAGACACGTACTAATTTGTCGGCAATTAAACAATTGAGAAAGAGTCCCGTTTTGGATCAGTTGTTAAAACTAGGATTAGGTAAAAGGTTAACGTCTTGCTAAGATTAAGCTAATGGTTAAATGTTGGTTGGAACAGGGATTAGTTTGTTTATGGGGTTTACATTTTTTTTTAATAAAAATCAGAATGTAATCCTGATATGATTACAGACATAATCTGACATTTCTGAGCCGATACTTCTCCACAGAGACCAGTCATTCTACTATATCAGTGTTTATACAAACAGATTTTCCAATCGCAACCACCTGACCTCAGTTATCCACAGAGAGAGTGGTGACATCCTGTATGAGGCCTCAAAGGAGAAGGTCTGGAAAAACAAAGTCCTGGGGTCATCACATGGATGACCGTCGCTGACCTGACATTTATCCAGTTGAAACTTGGTTATCATAAAGCACAAAAGACAAAAGGAAATACAATCGAACTGGAACTGAAGACCAAGAAACTGTAAGACTTCTTTTATTGTTTTGTTTTTTTACGGCGCTGTGTTAAACAGGTCACATTTTGTTGTCTGTAATTTCATTTTCATTAATGTCTGAGGACAATGGCGTCACAAATGTTTTGAATCAACCTAGTAGATTAATTGTGATTAATCAATATTAATAATTTATAAATGTTTGCTCTAGTGAAAATACACCATTACATTTTTTAACACTAAATCCTGGTGCATTTTGTATGTTGCCAGAAAAAAAAAAAGTCCCACAAACGCACGTGTGTTTGTAACACTTCTGCTGAAACCACCGTCTGTCCATTTTCCGGTGCGTCTGTCTGCACAAGATTTTCTTCACCCAAAATGTAGCCACAGTTCTGCTTTATTTACTGAACATGTGACAGCCTCAGTCCACAGCTGCTCATCTCCACGGTGATGGAACTGCAGCAGTGTGTTAAAGATCAGCTCACTCTCTCTGACCCTCAGCGATCACAAGACAAACAGTGAAAATGTCACTGGCCCTTTTTTTAAAGGTAGCTGGAACAGAGTGGAGTATGAGGTCAGACACTGCCAGCAGCAACGTTTATATATATATATATATATATATAAATAAAAAACAATTTAAATAGAAGCAAGATCAGTGTGAAGAGTCAAACTGACAGAGATTAATATTTTATGACTGATAACTTATGTATGAGAAAAACTAAACTAACATTTTTGGATGATGGCCTGAATTTAACATTATCAAATAATTTCAGGGTCCAAAATATGCAAAATATACTGTATATATGTTTGTAATTAATGATTATTTGCCTATAATAAAAACATTTTAAATTATAATTTTACTCCATCTTAGATCTCGAGCTTTCTGTAAAAAAACATAGATATAATAAGACATAATGAAGCTATGAATTTCATAATCTGCCTCCATGATGAAGAGCAGCAGTGACTGACGGTCGTTACTGGAACTGGACTAATTCCTAACATGAGGGTCAGATTGATGTGCATCTTGTGAGGACTTTTCCATGTGACCAAACCGACTGTGTGCCTCTGGGCAACCACACCGAACACACACAGATACACACACACACTATAGTCAGTGCCTCTAACCCCCCACTAACGCTGTACATGTTCTGCCAAATAGCACAAATACCAGTATTCTCCATGGGATCAAAACACACACACACACTGGCGGCAAATCCTACAATCTATGGAGCACTATCAATGCCTTGCTGTGTGTAGCAACAGCCATAGGCTCACTCGCACACACACCTAAACTTTGTGACACACACACACTCGCGCACACACACACACACATAACAGGAAAATAGCTGGAATTCCATCGTGGCACCCGCACAGAGCAGCAGCAGATGCAGAGGGAACGGCTGATCACACAGATGTTGGAGGCGAGGAGAAGCAAACTGACAGTAGTGGAGGAGCAGACAGAGCAGACAGAGCAGACAGAGGGAGAGTGAACTGAGTGAACTGACTTTTTACTGCTGCCGCCATAACTAACGTACATGTGTTTGACTGTAAAGACCTGCTGTAACAGCTGCAGGAGCCAAACTGTTCAAATACACTCTTCATCATCCATCTGTCCGTCTGTCTGCCTGTCTGTCTGTTGCTCCACCTCCTCCTTCATCATCCATCTGTCCGTCTGTCTGTTGCTCCACCTCCTAGACGGCCCTCCCCCAGTGGTAAACTCAGGGAAACACACCCCGCTCATCAACTGCTCCTGTATTGATCAAAGCTGGAGGGCGTGTGCTGGACTGTGTCCTCCTGGGAGGAATTGGGTTCCGTTTAGAAGACCTATTGATTTCTTTCAGTCTGTGGTTTTGCCCCAGAAGAGGAATTAATGTTGATGGAAAAGTGCATTAACCATACAGCAACCACAGACAGTTATTTACTTTAGTTATCTCATCATAAAGACAAAGGAACGACTCAGCATCTCAGCGTATATGTGTGTAAAACTTCAATAACAAAAATAAACCAGAAAAAGTGATCAATAGTCACACCAGGTCATTAGAAAGACACTGTTTAAAGCCTTTACTGAGGGAGAGACGTCAATATGCAGTAATGTCATGGAGTATTTCTGTTGACTGTGTCAGAGGAGGGAATTGTACTGCAAACAAAGTTTATACGGGCGTTTTATGACTTGAGTAAAGAAACTACTAAGTCCACTCTGTCCACCAGACACCTGACAGAGAAGACTGAGGTGGAGATGACCGCCTGCGCCACCTACAGTGCTGAAAGTGAATGTGACCTCTGCTTTTAGTGTGAGTGGACTTTAGCAGTGTGTGTGGACAGTGCCATGCTCAGAACATCTCAGTGGTAACTTGGCAGCTTGTGGACTTGAACCTGAAACATTCCAGAACCAAGTCCGCTTTTTGAACCCTTCGCAGAAAAGTCATAAAGATAACATTTTGGGAGTTTTCTCAATTAGCAGGCTACTTAGCAACAGGTTTGTTTTGCTAAAAATTAGCATCAACCAAATGACCAAATATGTGTGTATGTACCACCGACTGCAGCTGACTGCAGTACAGATCTGAACGACAGCCAAAGTTTCACTTACCAAACTGTAACCATTACGTTTCTTTACTTAACAAGCTGTTAAAAACCTGCAGCGGTTCACTGACCTTTAACCCATTGTATTTTCACTAAATAAGTTTATGTTTGACTATTAAAGAGCTGAAGGGTTGCAGTGGTTCTAGTGTTGCGTTGCACACTGTCCCCAAATCCCCCTGTAAGAACTGCGTCAGGAAGAGTATCAGGTTTAAGACCTGTGCCAAGTCACTGTGCAGACTACTGCTGTACGTACTGACCCTTGATGAGTGCAGACGCCAAGAGTGAGTTAGTGTAAGTGAATTAGAGCTAAGAAGCACCGTGAAGACACTGAGAGGGGTTTCTTGGTCCTTCTGCCAAATAAAGATTAAGATGCATTACCAAATTTAGTCTTGAAGGATTTCTTTAGGAAGAATGCCGACTTTTCCCTGAAGTTAGCTTTGCACATTGTAGCCATCAATTAGGATTAATGCCAGCAGCCTGCTGTGTGATCTAACTTTCATACATCTTCTACCACTGAATCCTTTTTCAGGGTCAAGTTTGGGCTGGAAACAAACACGCATTCATACTGACATTTATACCTGTGGTGGGTAAAGACCAGACCTGAGATTGTTTTGGACTGTTGGAGGGAAACTGGAGTGACCAGAAAAAACACACAGGCCGGGGGTTGAACCAGCAAATATGTTGATGCAGTCAGGCTAGTGTGACAACCGCCTGTTCCACCGTGTGCACCTATTTGCATTTTTGAATGTGGATTAGTGTTGAACGACAAACGTTTATACCAAGGAAGAGTTAGCTGGTAGCGCTGATAGCACCACTTCGATCATTAAAAAACCGTAAAGGTACATTTTCAAATAAATGCCAGATTCTCATTAAATGTAATAAATCAGTAATACTGTCACTGTGGCGCGTTACCAAATGACCCATGGACTGGTTCTGGTCTGTGGACCAGGTGTTTGAGATTCCTGTCTTGACAGACCATCACAGGGCACTGGTATTAATAATTAAGGACAATGACTGGTGCTCTGTTTGGTGTTTTACAGTTCTCAGTTTCTGTGGCGCCACGAGCCAAATGAAGAAGGAAAAAAGTCCAATGTTTCTTAATTCGTAAACTGAATCTTCCAAAACTGACTTAAGGGGAAGTTAATTTAAAACTGTCAAAAATTTGTTGAGCCAAACAAAACACGCAATGTTCAAAGACGGTGATTTCTGACTGACTCAGTTCACAAGAAAACAGAAGTCTTGTAGTGGTGACTGGTGTGTATGGATTGTAGTCTTCAGACAGAGGGACACACACACCCACAGCATTCTCACAGACACAGAGTGATGCACTGTAACCAACACGGAGACCGAATCCTGTTTTAGGCAGTTTTACAACACAGCAAGACTCCATGAAATAGTTAGAGCACATAATCACCACCTGGCTTTGTTGGCTGAAGTACGCACACACACACACACACACGCAGCCGTGGGTCATGCCACCTTACACAGCGACAATGTGTCGACAAGACCTGCACCAGAATTTCTTTCCGCATCAGTCAGTTTCATTTTCCCGTCTGATTCTGTTTGTCATTTCTCTGAAACTTTTCTCACATCTCAAATGGGGAAACACTGAAAGTAAAGTGTCACTGAATGTGGAACAACAAGTGGACACTGACTCTGTGAGTGTACAGCCCGCTGGGGCCGCACATTACTCACGTGTTAGCCACTGTAACTTACTTGAGTAAATGGTCCTTGGTGCTGCGTGTCTTGGTGAGGAACCTCTCAGCCAGCTTCTCCAGGTTGCGGCTATAATCCATCTCAATCTCCGCCTTCTTCCTGAAAAAGTCCTGCAGATCCTGGAGCAACTGCACCCTCAGCTCGCACTGCTGGTCCAGACACTTGAGCTGTTCCACCAGCTGGGCACGGATCTCTGCCAGGGAGAGGAGGAAAAAAAAAAGGAAGACAAAGAATGAACATCAGAAAACATGTGTTTTTTTTATTATTAATTTTGTTATCCTGTCAATCAGGAATCAGGCAGCAAACTCAGGCTAACCTCGAGATCTGTTGCTTTCCCGGACATCTTAAAATCAAAGTCACCTTCCTCTTAAAAAGTAACTCAAGTACACACAATGCAAAGTACTCTGCAGAAAGTACTGCAGTTGGTGCAGTGCCATCATTTGGGCACATTCCATGTCAAATGCCACAAAGATGTCACAGTCTGAAGCACTTTGTTCTTCACAGCTGATGTGATTGGGCCCATGTCCAGCACCTGGCAGATTCCTAACACATCAGTCTGTAGGATTGGCTCAGATCCATGCCCCCCCCCCACTTCCCCACCAACGACTGCTGTGCATGAGTGTACGTCGTATTTATACACATCTATGCGGCAGTCATTTATCTCACCTCATCGCTGCATTTTCCTCCCGCCTCCCCCTCATCTCCCTCTCTCTCTCTCTCTCTCTCTCTCTCTCCACCCCTGGTGCACTCCCTTCTGGCCTCAAATTAATAGAGTGCATTCAGTGCAGACACACTTGCTAACCATATTCAATCACTGGCTTCAGAAAAGTCCTCTGGAGAATCCTGCCCACTGCGGTTGTAGACCAGGGCGCACAAAGCAACACCAGCACACTCAAGGACACACACACACACACACACACACCCAGCTGGTGATAAGCTGGATCAGTGTGGACAGCTGACAGACTGATGCTATGCTCTCATACCTGCCTGACACTTGTGAGTGGGCTGCACATGTCCGTTTGAGAGTTCAAGTGATCTGTTATTTCAAGTGCGGTCGTATGAATTACTGACACACTGTCAGCACCATTCACACACACACACAGTGCATAGGCGTCGCTAAAGACAAAAACCCCTGCCTTCACTGCAAACATGGCTGAAAGACAGAAAAAAACAGTTTAATATAATTTTACCTAATACTTAATGACCATAAACTCCTTTTAAAAAAATCTTAAATTACTTTAAATTTAATAGCTAGACCTAAAAATGATTCCAAAGGTCACAGAGGTCATGCATGACAGTCACCAATAGTCAACAACTGGGCCCTCAAGTTTTATTACCAAAAAATATTTTAAAAGTTAGTTTTAAAGTTTTACAGTTTTGAAACGTCCGTCTACGAGAACCGTCTTCTCGATTGTGCAACTAGAACAGACCTCGGTTCTCAGCTTGTATGATGTAAGTTTCTTTTCTCGTTGTTGTTGTATAAGCAGCTGCACACTCACCGGCTCACAGGCCAATGGAACATATGTCTCAGCCAAGGTCTAAAAGGTAAAAGATGCTCAGCAAACCTGAGACGACCAGATTTGTAGCATCTGCTTTAAAGTCTGCTCCAGCGCTCTCCTACCTTTACAGTGCTGGACGTAGAGAAAGCAGACAGCTTTGGCCTTCATCCTTGCTTTTTTGCCGTGCAACCTCTGCTCAATAATTCATACGTGCGAACACTTGAGCACAGTCACACACACACACTCACAGACAGGCATGCCGCAACCCAGCCTGGGGCTGACAGCGAGTGGCGATGCTTCCTTTGTGTTTAACAGCTGAGAGTGCAGTTTCTCATTCCCACAAAGAGAAGTGGGAAGTCTAAATGTGTCTGTGACGAACCCCGTCGTCTCCCACTTCTCTCATTTACCTCATAAACACAGACTAAAATGCTGCGCCACTAACCAGTGTCTGTGCACTGCAGTTGCAGTCTGCCGGAGCCGTCGCGTCACAGGATGACCCCACCGCACAGACACGTACGAGACTAATAAATGTTCTGGCCCGTACTAATGACCCGGTGTGAGGATTTGCTTTAGCGTGTGATTATCTCATGGTCTGTGTGTGCATGTTTGTGTGTAATTTCCCCCATTGCACTGCACTGTCAATGACGGGGAATGAGTCAGTGTCCCGCCCCTGGAGGCTGCAGCAGTAAACCTCCACACAACAGCCTTGTAATTAGTGGGTCAGAGATAATGACACATGCACAAACACTTCACATAAAAAAAAAAAACAAAGTCCATAGAGAAGGTGACAGACGGTGGTCAGCAGGCTGACTGCTTACGGGAAGAGAAACTTCTACTTCTGACAGGTTGTTCATTAAAATCTCCTTTCTCCATTTCAGTGTCACCACTGCTGTCAGGACTGAGGTATCCACCACAGATAGACAGGCAGAGAGGGGACATCGCTGAAGATAAATGCAGGTCTCCATTCCCATACTCCTCTCTGCTTCGGTCATCATCCCTGATCCAGTAACAAGTCGGATGTGAAGTGGAATGTGACGCCTCCACCCCCTCCAGAGAGCACAGTCACATTTTCCAGGCAGATGACAGCAGGTCTGGTGAACAGGCTCTGGGATTCTACTTTAG